ATCCCTTCTCAGGCTAACTCTGGTATTTTTGTTTCCCTCAAAATAACCTTTGAAAGGACACCTGCAAACAGCAGTGCTGACCCTTTTGTAGAGAGAGGATGCCCTGCGGGGTATCACCATCGGCATTTGAGAAGGGACTTGCTGTGAGCTTGCCTACAGCAGGTTTAAAACAGGCTCCTGGTAAGAGTAAATGCCAAGAGAAGACCAAGAGCACCTGTCTGTTCAAGAACATCGTGCACCCTGGGACTCCATGCCTCCAGAGCCCCTTGCCCTGGCTGTGGTGACTCACCAGGCAGCTTCTTCTGGCTTTTTGATGGCCACTGATGTGTTTTATCAAGTGACCTTCATAGCTTGACTTGGATGCTTTGTCCAAGAACCAAGGAGGAAGCTGACTTTTAAAAATATATTTTATCTTTGACTGATGCATAGTCATTGTATGTATTTATGGGATACAGAGTGACATTCTATTCAGCGCATACAGATTGCAGTGATGCCTGACATATCCATGACCTCAGACATTTATGTATTGAGGACATTCAAAATCCTCCCTATTGTTACTCTGAAACAATAAACTGCTGTCAATCACAGCTGTTCTGCCACGTTATAGAGAGATAGAAGTTACTCCTTCTATTTAGCTGCACCTTCCCTACTTTACCTCCGTTTCCTACTCTCTCTGGGCTCATGGGACCACTGCTTTCTTTGAAATTAACTTTTTAGTTCCCACAAAGATGGAAGCAAATATGTACATCTCTCTGAGGTCCATGATATCCAGGCACTAAAAGGCAAGGGCATGAAAGTGTGTGTGTGTGTGTGTGTGTGTGTGTGTATGTTTGTACGTATGTATGTATGTATGTATGTATGTATGTATGTATAATGCATGTATGTATGTATTACATAAAATCCAAATCTAGGGCTCCAAGGTGAAGCATTTACCATGTAGTTGTGAGGGCTGGGTTTAGATCTCTAGCAGACGGGATCCCATTGTAAATGCTGGGCAAACATGGCCTGTGTGTAATCCCAGCACACAGGAGGCTGAGGCAGGATCCCCAGGGCAAGCCGGCTAGTTTAGATCAGTGAAATCAGTGAGCTCTAGGTTCCAGTAAGAGGTAAGAAACTGTGCTTCAATAGGTTAAGTGGACAGTGATTAAGGAAGTCATCTAATATCCACTATCAGCTTCTGGCATCCACATGGACACACACATATTCACATGTGTGCGCGTGTGCATACACACACACACAATTCAGAGCTCATCCCACCCACCATTCAGATGTGTTCAGGCTCTTGTACAGACGATGGTGAGATATTCTTGTAATGTTGAAGAGACCAGGAAGAGATTCGGGACAAACAGAAAGAGTCAGGAATCCTCAGAGAAAAGGCAGATGGGATCCCATCTGCCCCAAGAACACTAACCAGTTTCCATTTCTCACGTCAGCTTCAGGTGGCTGACTGGCAAGCAGCTGCTCATATGTCTGTGTTGAGAACTCTACAGCTGAGTGTGAGCCCAACCAGGAGAGCCCTGCTGAAATTCCTAGAATGCTGTGACAAACTGGCACAAATATGGCAGCTCAAAAGTGACAGAAAGCCTTCTCGCACAGTTCGGTAGACAGGAAGCCTGAAATCAGTAGGCTTGCAGGACTGCCCCTTGTCCCCTCCCCCCACCCTGTCCCCCATTTCTCATGGTCATTGGCTTAAGGATCCATTGCTCCCACTCCTGCCTCTGCCTCCACATGGCCTCCTCTTATGTGTCTCCATGGGTTCAAACCTTCTCCTTTCTCTTAGAAACACTCCAGACAATAGATCTGATCAAGGATGATTTCATCTCGAGACCCTTGACTAATTACCACCCACAAAGACTCTCCTTCCAAACGAGGCGTGTCCTAAAGTTGATGCTGAGGAGCCGCCACTCAACCCAGTTCTAGGGATACAATGGCCGAGCAATCTCGGCAAGAGTACAGGTATTTGAAATGTTGGTAGCCACGTTTTCTCCGTGAGGTGTTCAAAGCTTTATAGATGAAGGAACTGGGATCCAGACAATAAAAGAATCTAGCCCAGAACCATAATGCAGAGGCAATGCAGGAAATGAGAAGAAGGAAGGGGGTCTAGAGGTAGTGGAGGAGTCACAGGGAGATGTGGGTAGGAAAGGATGGGGATGAGTTTGCAGTTCGATGTGGAACTGAAGGGCATCTTTGCATTGGAAACCACTATCCACAGATCAAGATGGAATAAGAAAATTATCACTAGTCAGCCTGCGAGACGGCTTAGCAGTAAACCCCTCACCTCAAGGAGCCTCAGGATCTGAGTTCGATCCCCAGAATCCACATAAAAAATGCCAGGGTTAGGGGTGAGCATTTGTATTTTGAGAGCTTACAAAGCTCACTGGCCAGCCAGCCTTAGTGGAATTCCAGGCTGATGAGAAACTCTGTTTCAAACAGAAAGTAGACAGCTCTGGAGAAATGACACTTAAGGCTGCCTTCTGATCTCTACATAAGTTTAACATGTATACATGTACCTAAACACACACACACACACATACACAGAGAGAGAGAGAGAGAGAGAGAGAGAGAGAGAGAGAGAGAGAGAGAGGTGGGTGGGGGGAGAACAAGCCTACTACAGAGAAAATTCAGAAGCACCAAAAAGAATATGCTATCCTGGGGATCATCCTGAAGAATACTGCCCATTTTTGGCTGAAGGAACCACAAAGCTCCTTTCACTGGCAGAAGCGACGCAGACTGGTCCCTGAAAGCGTTGTGCGTAGATGCCTGCTGGTTGCCATGGTGAATGATGCTGATCTGAAGAATGAATAATGTGAGCGTTGGGGGCGACAGTGGGATTACTCAGTGGTGCGAGAGAGACATCAAGGAGAGCCTGGTGCGGAGGAGGGAGAAGCACATCATCCCGGATCTGGTCCACTCTGTCTCAAAGGGGAGAAATCTAAACCAGATACACTGCGAGCATCAGGTAAGAGACATGGAGGCTGTCTTGGAAATAAAAATGGCTTTTCTTTTCACACTCTGCCTGGAGAGGGGCCAGGCTGTGGGAACTGGATAACTAAAAAAACGAGAAGAGTTTAAAAACAGAAGACAGGGAGAAAAATAAATACGGGGAGATGGATTTGTCTCCTGAACTGAAGATGCTGTGGAAGCATCCTCAGTAAAAGCTTCTAAAAATGTCTGCTGCAGGGAACCCAGGCGATAAGACAGCCAGCAGCAGAGGGGAGGCAAACAGAAGGGAAGGTATGTGTATAAGAACAGGAATCCCAATTACCCTGATGGGAGGGTTTTACAGAGCACGGTGCCTGGGTATTACAGGGTATGAATTCCACCCCCTTTATTGTGGTTGGAAGTGTGTTTGTTGGGCGTTTAGGTCCCTGGGTGGGGAGGTGGGCATGTATCAAGAGATCCGAGGGAGAGTAAATCAGTTTCCTTCCAACAGCCATCCCTGGAAGGGTCTGCACACACCTGTCTCATCTTTTGCATTTCTCATTTACTGGGTGGAAATTCCCAGCCACATGGAAAGGAGTAATCTGCTTTCTCAAGCATTTCACTGCCTTTAGAGATGAAAACCAAGGATTGAAAAATGACTTCGTGCTGTTACATTTTTTCCCCTGGCTCACCTACCCTAACAACACAAACATAAAACCAGAAATCAGTTTGGCTTAATATTCACTTTGGGCTAAAAGTGCCCATTTGTGCCATTTCAGTCTGCTGCAGCATCTGCACTTTTGGCTGGGGACGGAGAAGAAGGCAGAGGGAGACCAGAGGGATATATAGAACCTGGCTACCCTTGTCTAGATTTTTGATCTGGGGACATTCAGGAGAGCTTTCTCTCTCTCAGAATGAAAGAAAAACCAAAAACCTTGATACTCTCTCTTACCAAAGCCGAAAGGCTTATAGTCTGAGCAGGACTCATCTGCCATACAGCCAACCAGGACACCTCATTAGCAATAATTACTAATAGTAATTAATTGATGATAATAATAACAGTCTATTACTAAATTCAGTGGCTTTGCATTGAAATACAGTTGCTAAGCAGGTAAGATCTCTCTCTTCCTGTGAGCTGATATTCCAGGCCGCTCATTGAGAAGACAGGAATGGAGTCTGCTATTGTGTGAGAAGCTATCTAACACTGCCTGGATCCAACAACTGCTGACTTGCTGTGGTTCTCAACCTGTGGGTCACAACCCCTTTTGGGGGGGGTCAAACGATCATTGGAAAACACAAATATTTACATTACAATTCATAATGGTAGCAAAATTACAGTTATGAAGTAGCAACAAAAAATAATGATTTGGTTGGAGGGTCACCACAACATGAGAAACTGTATTAAAGGGTTGCAGCATTAGGAAGGTTGAGAACTAGTGGGTTAGACAGTCACAAAAGTCACAATACTGTTGTTACTTTTAGAAGTCATGAGACTATTAGAAGTAAAGGTATCCTGGGAGCTCATGACTTTGACCTGGGGAACTAATTTCTTGTACCTTGGGTTTTGACAAAACAAAACACTAACAAAGCTTTGAGGTGGATCGCTGGTGGGGGGCGCCAGAGTGAACATAACTCAGAGTCAAAAAAAAAAAGCCACTGGGCAGAATGTTCTAGGCAACAGTTCACAGCATTCACAGCAGAGGCAGGCAGGCGGTCAGGACTGAGCTGAGAAGCGTAAGGTAGGCCCTCCGAGATTCCACAGAGTTCTCTTCACATTGCCTGTGTTTGTAAGGGCTGTGTCAGTAATGGATTTCAGCCTGGATGGGCTGTGGCCTGGACCATGTGGGTGCATCTTGAGCCTGAGGGCTACAAGCTTTGTCATGAGCCAGTCCTCATTCCTACCTGTATTCCGCCACTGGCTTGCTAGCTTACCCTCTGGACCTCCATTTTCTTTGGTCCATATAATGAAGTCAGTATCTATGGCCATTTCATGCACACAGACTGCAGCAGCTAGGATTATATCAAATACTGATGTAGGAGGATGTCATTCTTCACTGTGATTTGGTTCCAGAACCGGGATGAACATTGAGGTTGGGAACGTGTCTTATACAGGAGCCATCATCTCCTGGTCCTCCTCGGAGCCCTGCTTGGAGGACTATTACCGTATTATGTACAGGCCCAACTGGAACAGCATCTTCTCCGGCTATCTGCGCTATAGCTTCCATCACGAGGAGAAGGTGCCTCGAACCATCACTTCTGTGGCATTGGAACACCTCGCTCCCTCCACTCTCTACTTCCTCTGCATCAGCTGCAAGAAGGCTGCCTTCCCGTACAGTCACTACTGTACCATGTTCCACACCCTGGATAAGAGTCCGCTGGCTGCCAGGGGCTCCCTGGTGGACCCTCAAATTTCTCTTTGGGTGCTGATGGCCATCCTGCTGGCCTGCTTCACTGCTGTGCTGGCCTTCATCTGCCTCCAGTTCTGGTGCATCCGTTGTCATGAACCTCGGTGGTCTTACAGAGCTGGCCACATGGAGGAAGCCAATGGGTTGGTAAGATGGCCCGAGGAAACCCCAGCTTTTGATCAGAGGGAAGAAGACCTGCAGGGGTTCCCCCTGGAAGAACTGCCACGCAAGAACTCTGGGGCCAGAGCCGAAGCTGAACCAGAAGCTGAAGCCAGCCAAGATGTCTTAGATGTGGTGGCCTTAGCTAGAGAGGTTGGTGACCAACCAGCCATACTGCCTCACTATAGGGAGTGAGTAACGGTAAGGAGATGCCCATTTCCCAAGGCTTACAATGCTTTCCCATAGTGGGTCCTGTGTGAAAATTTGTGTATAGACCTCGCGCTTCTGTCCTCTCACATGTCACTGCTGTATAGATGCCACATGACAACTGTCTCCAATCTGGACAACACAGACCCTCAAGGTATGTCAGGGGCAAACAAGGCATTGTTTCAGTATTGTCCATTTGGAGGTCTAGTGAAGAACGGAAGACCCCATTTCAGTATTAAAGTCAACCAGGGCTGTGTGAGGGACAATAAGTGTAGCTAGACCTGAATCTGGCACAGTACTTGAAAGGAATGCTGGCTCAGAGGCGGACTGAGAGCCATGTTTTCCAGTCGTTCTTTGTAAAAGGTCTGAAGGCCCTGTTCTAACTTTCAGGCAATCACACACCATACCCTGCACCTCCAGGTTCATTAAGAAAAAAAAAGCCACAGACTGGCTTCTCACTATGTATCACTAACAATCAAGGCATTTTATTTAAATAGACCACAGCTTTAAAACATAGGCCCTTAGAAGACAGCTTTGTATTACCCCAGAAACAAAAATCCAGGCCCCTGATGTAAATAGAAGGGAACGGAAGAAAGAATAAATACACCATGCAAGAAAATATTAAGTTTGATGACTACCTGCTAGCAAATGACTCTGGGCTTAAGATGTGCTCTCTTGTGTTCGATATAAAGGGAGGCCAGGCAGTGCTGAAGAGACTAGCATTAACATTAACATAAATGTCTTCCTTTATGTAACATGAGGTTCGAAAGAGAACTGGGAAGGGAAGCGTGATGTTTAGCTTGTGACCCATGTCTCTGAGCCTCTTGAAATGACATCTGCAAGTTCTCCCCACTTCTCCCTCCCTCCCTTTTTTTTTTCTTCTGTATATGGGGGTACAGACTCATAACACAGTCTTGGCTGACTGGAACTTGCCACATAGACCAGACTGTCCTTGAACTCAGAGAAGTCCTGCTGCCTCAGTCCCTTCAGTGCTAGGACAGGCGAGTGCTACCACACTGGATGACAAGATTCTCTAGGTTTGAGAGAATTACCTTAAACAGTTTGACTTCTCTGGAGAAATCCCCCGTCCTCTCTAGCATCGTCCTCATACCCGGTAGGTGCCCAGCCAGAGCTTCTCTGGGTTGACCATACTTCTAAAGCTTTCCTGACCTCACACCATCATAGTCACCTCAGTTTATCTCTGCTTAGTTTGAAAATGGGATCAAAAGTAGCTGTTTTTGTTTGTTTGTTTGTTCTGTCAGCAAGAAAATCCTTTTTTTGGGGGTGGGTGGGTGGGAGACATGTTTCTTTGTTCCTTCCACATGAACCCCTAATTGTAAGGATTAAATTGTACATATTGCGACCTTAGTGGGACTTAGTGGAGATTATTCCCTATACAACTGTGGAAATGAGAGTATGGTTATGTCTCTTTATCCCCGATAGACACCAAGCATGTACAATCTAACCCATGTCTGGTCTACAAGGGGTATATACTAAAGGCCACTGAATGAATAGGCAGAAGGACTGAGGACTTAGAATGGATCCAGTGGGGACAATTACTTGGAATGAAGATGTGCACATGTGAGGAAAACAAAAGCCACCTGAGGTAGAGGAGACCTTCCTCTCAGAGGTAGTTCCAGACACCTCTAACGGCCTTCAAGCTCTATCTACAAAGCTCTTGTACTTGCAGAGCCCAGAATTCCAGAACTAGTAGACAATGTCATGATAAATCAATCAAGAAATGGGAGACACTGGGAAGCCACAAGGAGACTCCCCATGTACCCATTTACCCACCAACCTCAGCACGGTACTCACCCCTCACCTCAGCTCCTGCCCAGCTCCCTCCGGCCAGAGCTCTCTACCCCATCCCTGCTAGCCCTGAACCAATAAAGATGGATATACTTGCAATGGTTTCTGCCTGGCTCTCAATGCCCCTCTTGAATGACATACCCGTGGCTTGGCTTATTCTGGGAACACTTTTGCATTTGTCTTTTCTCATGCTGTCTGTCACAGGTGAGCTGGGACAGGACTGTTTACCTTGGATCCGTAGAGGTAATAAGGCTGGACGTTGGCGGGTTTATCCCGTTGTGGTTCTTGGGTGAAGGGGATGGCAGTTCGGACAAAACTAGAAGAAAAGAGACAGGGAAACAATTAAATGAATCCTATGACATCCTCCAAGGGACAGACAACAGCAGGAGCCCCACCCACCGACACCTGCAGCAGGTTCTGGAAGGCTGCCTACAAAGGAACCGGACTCTTCTGATTTCCCCTCCCCTTTGATTACTGTATGCTTTCCCATTCTTCTCAAAAAATGGGAAAACTTGGGTCCCAGGAGACACAAAGTCAGGGTGTGCTAGGTCTGAAGATGGCCTTCTTTGGGGCTCCATATGTCACCTCAAATTTAGTTTAGAAGCTGAGTTATTAAATTTCTGTAAAGGGCTAGGCAGAAAACCCTTCAGCTTTGCAAGCCAGATGTCTGTGTCATAAGGACTCAGCTCTGCCCTTGGGCATGAAAATGAAAACATCATAGACAACAGCACCCTAGTGAACATGGCTGAGTTCCAGTAGAATTGTGAATTTTAAATCATCTTCACATCATGACTATTGCTCTTCAGGTCTCCTCTAACTACCCACTAAAGATGGGGATGCTGGGCTGGGGAGGCCATGGGAGCATGGGGACCACAGCTGGGATCCCTAGATCCCATGTAACAATGCTCAGTAGCTGCACCCCTAGAACTGCAGCCTCAGAAAGTGGAAGATGGACTCAGAGGCTCCCCAGAGAAATCTGGCTCGGCAACCTAGCTGACCAGGCAAGCTCTGGGGTTGACTGAGAGAGCCTGTCTCAATGAAGGGGGAAGAGGATGATTCCAGTTATCAACTTGGGGCTTCCATGTGGGTGTTCTCATGCACATGCATGCACACCCACATACTTGTAAGCCCACACATATTCAAACATACATACATGCATACAACAACATACACAAATGGGGGACACAAGATTCCCCATCCAAAGAGATGGCACTATTGCCAGTATATGGGCTGTTCATAGCCAGTCTCAGGTCATGCACTGGTGTCATGGCTGGTGACAAGATAGGGTATACAGTTTGTGGCCAGGCTATAGTTTATAGCTCTGACTCAAAATGTGCTATAAAGTCGAGTCAAGTCAAGACAAGCTGAGCACGTCTTGCTCAATGCACAGATTCAGGTACATCTGTGAATATGGTCTTCTTGCTTCTTTCCATTCATCCAGTGTGGATTCAGTTCACACCACCCTGACCCAGGCTCCAGGGGCTCAAAGACTTCACCTGCACACACTTCCACCCATCCTTCTGTTCTTGCGTGGTTTGTGGATACAGGTGATATGGCTCTGTGTGAGGAAAGGATTAACTCTTATCTGTACTTCAGACCCTGCCCCAGAGCTTTGTGCTCCTTCCAGGAAGCAAGTTCCACTCGGCAAAGGGGCCTGTTTTATACACACATGTTCAGGTATGTGCATGACAGTGTGATCAGAGCACCATCCTTCATCAAACTCTCCCAGGCCCCGTGAACACATGGTGACCATACCATGGCCTAGGGAGTCTATGGCCTATCCCCACTTTACCTTCACAGCTGCTGTGGGGGTCTCTGCATGCATTACAGCCAGCAGGGAATGATCCAGGTCAGGTGAGAATGAAACACAGGTTCAACTCTATCTCAGTTACCTGACACTGGGTCAATAGTTTTGGACTCTGACACCAAGGGGCTTGTTTTTTTAAACACATGTAAACACAGTAAGACTTCTGGGGGGGGGGGGGAAGTTTCCTTGTCACAATTATCACAACAAAGCTTTAGGCAGGGCTACATCAACACTCCTTTGCAAAGTACATCTCTTTAGCAGAGCGCCTGTGACCTTTCCTACAAGAATGGGCTCTATTGATGGAGGAACAGCGATAAAGCTAAGAGCCCAGGAAGGAAGGGTGTGTACTACGTATAACAGCAGAACTCTTTTGCAAAGTACATGAGACCTCTTTCATGAGGATAAGTTGTACTGACTGAGCAACAATGCTCAGGATCCTGGGGGATTTGGTGAGGGCTGACTTTACAGCACAGCAATGCATACCAGGTATTACCATATCCATTCTCAGCCTTCTGGATGGAAAAGAGGTGTCGACTTCTTATATTGAAGTAACAAGCCTACAGGCTTAATAATTCTGGCTCTTCTAGTGCTTATCTGTGAGGCCGTGCCCTCTACAGGCTGCCTTTACCCTTCATCCACTTCTAACTCCCATAGCTTCCCATAACTCCCCAGCTTCTCGGTTAGGTAGGTTTGCCCATAATAGACTTCTGCTGTTTGCCTTACTTATTCCTGCTGATTCTTTACAACTCACCTCCTGCATCACTTTCTCAAAGGAGACAGCCTTCTCTGAGGTTTATATCTAGACTGGGTCAAGTTGGGTTAGAAGGCTCCAAGCAGCTGGAGGGTGTGAGGTTGTTCACCATGGCATTACTACCTCCAGCACAGAGCCTACACCCAGGAGCAGCTCCAGATAAACACTTGTCTGAAGGAAACAGAACTGCTAGGCCCATTTTGGAGGTAAATGGCCACAGCCTCTTTCCTGCCCTGCTTGGTACCCTGTGTACAGAGATTCCCTTACCGGTTTGTGGATCCATTATAGCAGTAGTTGGGAAGGAAGTCAAAGTTCAACTCCCAGAAGACATGCAGGGTGATGCGGCCATAGGGGGCAGACACGTTATGATTGGCTTCTCGGAACATGGCGTCGAAGCTGTCTAGCGTCATGTGCTTACAGAGGAGTCGGTGTGTGAGCCGGTTAATCTCTAGTAGCCACTCTAGCTCCTGACAGAGAGAACCCAAAGCTGCTAAAGAGTTTCAAGTAACACACACAGACATACAGACACTCAGACAGACAGACACACAGACACTGAACACTCCTTACATCTAGAGGAGACCTGTCTCAGGAAAACTTTGACCTCCTACATGAGGACTAGGA